TTTCAACGAACAGCTAAAATAGTATTTTACAGTATTTACGATCGTGCATTCCTCCTGTTGCAGTTATATGGGATAAGGCGGGGTTTGAGTTTGTTGGTTTGGCGTAACATTGTGTGATGGCTGTGCTCCGCCTGGATGTGGATTACGCAGCAAATCCCCGGCCTGCTGTGGTGTTGCGTATCCGTATGGTTGAGGCACCGGCATACCCACGGGATGTTGTGCCGGGTACGGCAAGGACGATGAGGATGCAGCTGCAGGTGCAGATGGTTGGTTCGATGTGGCGCCGTCACCGAAATTAATCAGATCTACGTCTTTTTCTGTTTTTCCTTCAAATTAAAACACATTGACATTAATTATTTACATTTACAGTTTAAATATGTCACGAACTTCGCACTTGTACACTTTTACCGAACGGTGGGATGGCATATTGTGAAGCTTTAAAACGCGTAACCTAACAGTAACCTACCTTTCGAGTCTTTCTCCTGTGGAGTAAAATAGCAATAGTAAGTAGTGATCACATGATCTGGGCAATAAATCCAATCCCGATCAATCAGGTTACGAAATTAACTCGCCAGTACAATTATACTATATGTTAAAGTCTTAAGATCTACTAAAAAAAATATGAATATCCAGAATTCACCAGCGAGGACTTATACGTCAACAGGTGCATTTGTTTTTATACTATTTATGTTCATTGCGTGATCATATACTAATATTACTTTTCATAACAAAAAGTTTCTGTGGAATCTCGAAATAAGATGGTATCTCGATGACAAACATCATAACGATGTTTATTATTATATAACTCCCCTTTATGCGATGAACTAGTTAGACATTCATTCAAATTTTACAAATTCAGGATTGCCGATCTTAATATGTCAGTCATATCGATGTATGTATCGTACCGAGAACAAGTAGTAATAATAATATAGTTAAGCATACAACGATCCTTCAAGTAGCGCCCTCAAGCGACGAAAGACTACAATGCGGTTCAAACGAACAAATATCTTTTCCCTCGGTTCGAACCAAATATTGATGTTGGTCTCTAGAGGGCGCTTGAACATACTGTTGATACCTGTATAGTAACATTGTAAACGTTGGTTGTCGCTGATTGAGGTAGTGGTGGTGGTTGCTGTGCTTGCGGCGGCTGATATGGTGGTGGCTGCGCATGTGGCTGATACTGTTGAGGGACCGGTGTGGGATAATGCTGCTGATTTGGCGGCGGCTGTTGGACATAGTAATAAGTTGGTTGCGGTTGACTATGTTGGACGACGGTGGTTTTGCTTGAAGACGATTTTCCAGACCGAGAAACTGCACCTGCGGCAGCTCCGACCACTACTGCCGTTGCCAATGGACGGCGACGCATTGGACCACGCATTGGACCACGCATGGGACCTCGCATTGGACCCTGTTAAAAAAGTCAGATATCTAATCAGTCTATATGGTAAGAAAATATCGCAAATAATACAACACCACACAAAACCATTGCGATAAAGTTTTTCCGTTTTCGACATTGTGAAATTCTTCCCTTTTTATGCAGAAAAATACAGTAATTTTACCAAGTATATCATGTTCATTAAAGTTATTGTTCATAAGTTGTTGAACAGTCATAATTCAAGACAAATGAAAGGCAAAAATATAGAGAATATAGCAAATTTTGTTTCTGTAATATTCTTGTATGGAATACATACGTTATGAATTATTCTTATTATTAATTTCTGAATTATCTTGTCAAAATCAGGGTTTTTTTTTCTCCCAAATAACGAAAGAACTTCACAATGTCGAAAACGGAAAGTATTTATCGTAGTGTTGAAAACACCACAACACAACGCAACATTACGCACCGCAACGCAGCACCACACAACGCAACGGCACACAACAACTATACACTACAAAATGCAAAGCAACGCAACGCAACACAATACAACTCAACGCAACGCAACACTCCACTACATTACACTACACAACACAACGCAACACAACTCAACGCAACATTCCACTACATTATACAGCACAACGCAACACAACTCAACGCAACGCAACGTGATACAACATTACGCAACACAATACAGCATACAACGAAACGAAACACACTACAATACTCAACCCAACGCCACTATAAAAGACGTGACAAGACAGCACTTGGCAACACAACACAGCAAAATACAATGACATTTAACACAAAACAACACAATGCAATACAGCGCAGCTCGACAAAGTGAAATACAACACAAAATGCCGCAACGCAACACTACTTCACAATACGCAACAGGATACAATAAAACACAACACACACAAGCGAGATCTGGTGAATTTGAATATAATTATGAACAAAATATAGCACGAAAGATGCAACGGAGTGTGGTTAGGATTGCAGTCCTTCCACACTGCTAAAAGAAATGTTTGTATATGCATATTTCTGTATGTATTCTCATGTTTTTATTTCGATTGTTATCAAATAGGTCAGCCACGATAACTTGATTGACTAGTCAGAATGCCGGTTCTATTACTTGGTGTGACATAAGATTTTAAAATTGAACCAACCAAACCACTGAATTATATGTGCTGTTTCCATTTGTTTTACAATATCAGGAAGTTAAGGTGTTTGAAGTCAACAAAGGCACCACGGTCGCTATATTCGTAACAAAATAACAAGAGATTATTGACTACAGAGGGCGTGCTGATTTCCTCTACTGGGTGGACAAGCCGGTGCTTTTTACGACACGCGGTTATTCCGTGTATGGCATGCAAACATGACGACATCAAACAGAGTATACTGAAGCAGTGGAAGTTAATGATTCTTTTAAACAAAATGTCAATATTAAACTGAACCAATTCACATTGTCTAGACTCCGTACGAGGACCTGAAAGGTACAAGTGTGACGTCATTTATTTGTTATCAAATATACCCTGTGGACGGCGAATCGCTATAATGATAGATAATTACATGCTGATTATGGTAAATTATTGACAGTAAATTATTATGACCTATTTATATATATATATGTATGTATATGCGTGTGTCGGGTGATTCGTTTATTCCCAAAACAGACTAAATAGGACGTGTTTTGTTGCGTAATCAAGTTTAAATTCCGTGTCATCTCGATTCAGAGATGAGCATGTCAGTAGTGACGGCGGTACGGTTAATAAGAGATCAGCTAATTTAAAAAAAAATATGTCATCAACATACTTCACGAACTCTGAAACATTGTGGAAATAATGTATACTCACCCTTCTTGGGCCACGGAACATGATGCTGTCTTAAAACCACCAAACTTAGCGATATGAGTGTACAGTAAATGTCTGCCTGCTGCGTCCTATAAACACTCGTCACCGTCCTTCAAATGTAACAGTTAATGCATAACATCGACAAATTACTGGCCTGATACTCCGTTCAATGTACACACAGAAATAGATTTGATTGTGGTTAATGTATAACTTTGATTGTCACATGATCCAGAGACAACACAAACGTCACGGGGCAACGCACTCAGTGAAGTGTATGTCAAGATCAATAAGGCCCTGTGTGAAAGAAACAAAACCTGTTCTCCGTTCTAAAAAACCAAGTTGATCATACAAACTGTATATCAGCAGGGAAGAGGCAACTCTTGTTTGTCCGTCTTCATACAAAATCGCAATGAGAACATGCCACCTCTAAAAATGATTTCATCATTTGGATACCGAGTTATGCTTGGTATAATATTGTTTATTAATTTTATTTTTAAGTAAATCTAGTTTCTTACGCCTAAGCGAAGCGACCACTCAGCGTAGTCACTAATGACGGTTACGGTGAGTGTAAAGTAATAATAATATTTCTCCCCGATAAGCACTGCGCCTTATTCACAATAGTGCACAATGTTTGTATAACTAGTGTTTGTCAGCGGTTATAGGCGTCCATACTACCTGCAGCTAACATAGTAATTTCATACAGAACTTCAGTGAAACCAAACCTCAACTGCGCGTTAATCAGCTTGGGAGAGAACATCTTTCGGCAAGCCTTGTTTATTGTTCTATTCAATTACATACGGATATGCAGCTTTTGATGAAAACACCTCTACACCTCGATCCAAATTTTAAAGAAACAAAAACACCATGTTATATAACAAAGTGATTAGTATATTTAATTTGACACGTATTATATAGTAATAATTTACGGTCAACCAGTTTAATCATGGAAAAAAGTACCCCTCAGCCACCCAATATGAAACACCCGTTGTTCTTGCTAGTGACTCCTTCCAACGGGATTAGTAAAAACGGAGAACGTCAAGCCCATTTGTTACTTGATTGTTGGCTTCTCCCTCCACATGATATATTCCGCAAATTTAAGAATTGAACAACTTGCTTTACAACAACAAATTGAAATACATGGTAGTTTTGATAAAATACACGTAGAACTGCTTATGAATGTATTTTGATTATATAGTGCTAAACTAATACCCGCCAAGCTAATGGTTAAAGCGGGAACGGGGGGGGGGGCGTCACCTGCGCACGCGCGGGAATTGAGTCCCAAGCGATGATAACAACACACGCTAAGAGCGCAAAGGCTTATGTGTAGACGCTTGTTTGAAAACAATGACACGCTATGGCCACCTGACGCATGCGTAGGTGGCGACACTCCCGCTTGAAATTATAATGAACCTATATCCTACTCACAATCTCAATCACAGATGTGGAGATCTGTATATTTCACCAATAAGGTACAAGTTCCCTTTTCTAAACGATGGTTTCTTTTTATAGGCCCTTTTCATGATTTCTCGAACGACACTTTTTTCTTTTAATCTTCCGTGCAGACGGCCGGCCATTGTTACAAGCTTACACAAACTATCGTCTTTTAAAACTGTCCAATGCGCTCGAAACAACGTAACATTATTGCTGGTCGCGGGAAAAAAAATCATTAGTGCCTGAGCTTTGATTCCCATCCCAGGTGGTGGGCGATTTCATCTTGAGCGGCATTTCGAATTTTCCCCGAATCAGACCATTTACGATTTTAACGCAATATTCTCCTTTAGATTCCCCTGAAACGTAAATTGTACTCAGACTCACGGCTATACAGTTGCAATTTAACGTTCTCTGTTTTTACTATGTGATTTCATCCGTCAACGCCTCAGCTCGTTCTTGCAGGTGTCGTACTAGTCCTTCTTCGAGACGTCTGTCTCTATTTCATGTTACCTACATTGACCTGACCAAGCCTTCCAATGTCGCATTTGTACTGTTCCAATAATTCTTACTATCGCTTGTTTCTGACTTCCTTAAACGTCACCCAACCATTTTTTTTTTCTTTCAAAACACGTGAGCTTCAATAATGTCTCTCGTGACCATGACATCATCACTGCTTGGCTACGTCATGGCACTTTCACTCGTAGAGTCGGCGCCATATATGTTTTCAAATATAGCACTGCCCGACCTTCACGTTCGCGTATATTTCTGCTTGGCATATTTACCCCAGAGTAGGCAGTATATGTTGCGTGCAAGCTAAGCACAAGTCTTCGGGTCCAAGTTTTCCAATTTTGAGTTAGTCTTATACTTAATTGCAAGATTCCACTTTACATCCCACACGAAACCTTTTCCTGAATCTGGCGTAAACATTAGGGGCCGAAAGATAAGACCCGAACGCCCCCATACAGTTGGGTTTGAAGATTTAGTTTCATATTATTCTAAAATATTATTAACTCAAACGTTTAATAAAAATCAGCGAATCACTGCTAGTACTAGCCGTGGGTTCATATCTCTTCTTGTGTCGGTCTTTGTGGTGATATTTTAGAAATTTCTGATACATTTCGTGTCATTAAATTTGTTATTTCCAGACTTTTATTTGCGTCATTTGCGTATTTGCGTTGTGTTAGGCAAGTCTATGGAAGGAGCCATGGTTCTTCTTTGTCCTAGAAATCCTAATGTCTGAAATTAGCAAATTTAATGGCACCAAATGTAACCGAAATGGTTAAATACCATCACAAAGACTAAAGACCGACACAAGAAGAGCTATGGACCAACTTACAGCTATGTTAGTGCAAATTAATAAACCGTCATTATAATGGTAGGTTCATACGAGACCTTCCTTATTTTACAGTTTTATTCTCAAGAAGTACAATTTATTTGAAACTTTATTTATATCATTATGTCTATGTATTCTTTTTTTCAAACAAGTGTATACTTAATGGCTGTGTGTAGTGGTATAACAATTGTATATATACATTGTAATGCATGCGAAATTCAAAGGTTCGTGACAACTTGGGTCATGAGAATTACTTTGAGAAATGATTTAATTAATGTTCATTTCAGCCAAGAACCAAGAACTGGTAGCTTGGAATCTGACAATTGCTTCCGGTGTTCTTACACAGCATTGGGACTATTTAAGCTTTAAGGTATCCATGCATATCAACGAGATAACCATACATTATTCAGGTCCAATAAACAAGAAAATCCAACTATATGTATGACTGCACCAATGCATGCCTAGGTATTGTTCGCCCAATGTGACAAGAAATACAGTACAAATAAAATTGGGAAAGTTGTAATCACTGTAAATCAGCCATGTAAAGGAATATTATCAATATTTAAATTATTGTACTTTCAGTTCAACTTTTATAACTTTTCTAATTAAAAATTGGGGATACCATAGAAAATATCCTTTTTTTAAATATCATTACTGGCAAAATTATATTAGATAACTTGTACTGTGGATTATCAAATTCATAAATAAACGTCAAAGCTGGTATTGGTGTTAAAGGCAGTGATGGTATAGTTTATACATCTACACAAAAACAAGGATATCCCCAGGGGCAACATCAGGTTCAGGATGTTCTGAAATAATATATAATACTTTTGACAAGCAAAGTTTGAGTTCTCAACTTTGACAACAAAATAGGTTTTATTTGAGCCTGTGCAGTGATGTCCACGTTCTCATTTGAAGGTATTGTCACACAAAGTATAGGAACTAACTTAGGATGCCTACATACAAACTATAAAAAGCAATTGGATTGATGACTTTCAAGAAGAACAAAACATTGTTTTACCAAAATATTCAAGCAACATGATAGCCTATATAGCTTCGTTTTCTTTAGAACTAAATCCACACAAGACAAAAATAGACATCGACAAGCAAAATGTACTTCATTGTCATTATGTTTATATCTCAATGACAAATATGATACAATACCCACCAAAACTATGCGTTTACAGTGTAGTTTATGAGAATTAACGTTGGAGAATATATGGGTGTAACTACACTGAACATATATACCGTTGGAATTGATCTGTAACTTCAACATCTCCCACTTGGGGTGTAATAGCATAATTGTTGCATGTTGGGGCGAAACACATGGGTGTTGGTCCGTCTTGTATGAAATGCACCAATCATTCGCCTTATAGTCAAATTCTTTTACATTCTCTACACATATATTTATATCACTGTTATACTACCAACCAGTAATCTTTTGAATTTCTTCGTTTTTTTTCTTATGAATTTCAAGATTGATATTTTCTTTAACATAATGGTGTTATCAGAAAATATAGGTGATTGAAAAATACCAGTGACATCAGTGGGACACGGTTTATACCAGAGCAACAGCATTGTTAGTGTACCAAATTAGATTTGTAAATATGTTAAATGATTCGCCAGACATCAATGACGACGTCTACGATTGGCTAACTATTATGCAAACTGGGTAATTAATATTTACGGACTATACAGCCCTATAGTAGCCAAGTTAGTGGTTAATTTCAAAGCGCAGTATGAGCTAATTTATTATATCAAATAGGTAATTAATATGCACGGACTTCAATCTTATATATACCAATGTAACATAATTACTAAACGACTACTACACCAACAATTACACATACAGCAGAAATTATAATTCACATATAATGATGTTTTTACGTCATATAAATATAAAATGCTTTTTCAAATTTGTCGTTCCGGGAATATCATCTATTTTCAGATCAGTGACGATAACGCTAATATTTTAAATCTCATCTTGCTGATATGTCTGGAGGTTAAAACGCCACGAGCGGCCTTTTTAATCTATTTAATATATAACCCAAATTATGTTTATGATATTAAATGGACACACGAAGTGATGGGTCATATAACATGGCATAAATGCAAGTAATATTGTTATGCGTAACAATAACATTTTAATGACGGTTATGTTGGCTCAGTATTTTATTAAAATATGGAAAAAATAATGCCTTTTAATTTAGTAGTGAGAATGATTGTGACAGAAATAATACATTAATCATAGTTTATTGCATTTTTTTCTGGTTGTACATATTAATTTCATTGAGGTCGCATAGAAACGCGTAGTATGAGTACATAGCGACAGTCCCATGAAAAATATTAATGATAATGATAGATCTGTTATTATAAACGTGATAACCTGAAATTCGATAATAATTTACGACCGTCTTTCTGATGAAATTGGGTATGCTGTTGCCACTGACGATGTGGTGTTCGTCTGTGGTGGCGGTGGTTGATACTGGTACCCTGGTGGAGCCGCTGGTGGTGGTGGGTATTGTCCCTGTGGATGCTGATAAGGGTACTGGGGATACGCTGGGTAACTGGGTTGAGGCTGCTGTTGATTTGCGGTTGTAACGCTTCCTGTTCCTGGCGGAGGCACCCCGGGTTGTGGTGGTGGGTATACACCAGGTTGTTGCTGAGGGGGTGCCCCTGGTTGTTGTGGAGGGGGAGGATAACCATACGGATAATATGGCTGACCATAACCTTGCTGGGGTGGTTGTTGGTATCCCGCGTATGGTTGATTTGGTGGTGGCGGATAATAGTATCCCGCCGGCGGTGCGCCAACAGGTTGTTGTTGCGGTGGTGGTGGGTTTGTTGCAGCAGCTGCTGTTGCCTTTGTTGTTTTATCCTTCTTGTGGTCTGTAATGTAAAACATTGAATATGCTGAGTTATGCAGTATAATCATGGGTTTGAGGGAATTCTAGAAACCCAATTTTCAAAGAAGCGAGTCGAAAAAACACCGAATATGTGCAGCGCGAAATGTTATTACCTTCATCATCACTGCTGCTACTACTGCTGCTTTCATCGCTCTTTTTTTCCTAAAATTATGATAAAAACACGTTTAAAGTATCCAGAGTAAACAAAGTTGGCGACATAATCATTCAGTTCCTATACGTCGGCTTAGATACGGGGGATGTATCGCAGAGACTTTAGTACATGTATATATATATGAATATATGAATATATGTTTGTATTTTTTTTTTTAAATTAATAAGTTTTGAAACGCATTCCATGATATTTACACTCATCACATGCTTTCAAGAAAATTTGAGAACCTTGTGGTCTTCCAATATTATTTAAAAATGCATCTTAATTAAAAATATCGTAAAATAAAATCCTTGATTTTTTCCCTAGTAATACTCGAAGCAATACTCAAAACTCTAATGCGCATGTGCTTAAAATGTACGCGTCCGGGCCAAGCGCTACTAAAACATAATTGTTTGACTATAAATCATACAAAGTTATTCTCAAAAACTGATACACTATATTCTAGCTCTTTCAATGTATAAAAAAAGCACCTTTAAGGATTCAGTCATTTTGCGTATACAACACCACTGTGGTGTTTTGTCATGAGAAATCGCTTTCTAAAATAGTGCAATCCTTCAACGGGGTTACAAAATGTCTTTGCATTAAAGTAAATTAGTATTTCTAGGTATTAGTACAAACTTGAACGCACCTTTATAATTATAACATTGGTGGTTGTTGTCGGCTGTGGTTGTGGTGGCGGTGGTTGTTCTGGGGCAGGGACTGTGGTTATTATGGTCGTTGTCTCGGGCTCAGACCTCTTCTTCGAACTCGATGCGACTGCCCCTGCAGCTGCTCCCACCACGAGCCCCGTTGCCACTGGGTGCCTAGGACCACGTCTCTATATGACACACATAAGAAGACAAGTGTCAGATATGCATATAAAATAAACTAATAGGTGATTTTCCAGTAAACTGCGAGATCTCGCGAGTTGCGTGAAAGAACGTCTGCCCAATAATCGAACGATTTGATTTTGAACTCGAATTTCATTAATTCGTAGCTCACATTCGAAGGCCAATCTTTGATAGGAGAATATTGCGTTTGAATACCATTACTTCATCGAAATTGACAATCATCAAATGTGTTCAGCACATTATTACGCGTAGAAATATACCTCAAAATACTTTCGCGTTTGTCGAATCCCACGCGATGTTTGTCGCCACTACGACGCTATGACCTTTGTTTGTCCCGTTTTTACGTTCGATTTCACGCATAACGCGGGATCTCGCAGTGCACAGAACTACATGTTTTCGAAACGCATACTAGTACTGTCAACCCAATCAGACAACGCATGGGCAGCCGATTGATCAGTTGTGGGTTGTGCGCACTCGTAACTATAAATGAAAATTAAAAAAAAAAAAAAAAACGTGAGAAAAAGTAAACTAATAAATAAATACTAATTCTAATTTGGTTACAATCCATCCCTCCAAGCGAATCATTATTCAACTCATAGTTGAAGAAGGCACCCCAGCTGCGGTGGATATCTAACTGATTCAATACATAAATAATAGTTTAATCAGATTGAAAGCCAAACGTTTCACCTTACTTTACGGTTGAGTAGTCGACTGCAGTGAAAACAAAGTTGGAGTTAGAGGCTGGTGAGAATAAATCGGCGTGACGATTACACATTTCCTAGTTTTCTGAACGTTTCGCTGGAGGCAATAGAGAATACATGTCCTTTTTTTTCTTTTTAAATTGAACCGTGCCTGTCACGGTCATATATTATTGATGCTTAACCGCTGTTGGTTCAATAGAACTCATCATTTTAAGAGTCGCCATGGAAACGGAAGACACATCACATCCGGCAATGACGTCACATGAACCACTGGCAAGATGAAGGCAGCAGACTGGTATATATAATTTTTGGGCCGCACTTTTTCGGTGTGAATTATTAAAAATGCTCACTGATGCATACCCGGGCGTACAGTCGCGCGCCAAGAGACGTCGACTTCGTGGAACATAGCAAGAAAAGGTGTTGTCACGGCATTTACAAACGCTTAGGAGGGTGGTAGTGTACAGTTACCGTGGAAAAACAACATGGTGAAACATATACGAACACTTGTTATATATCTGAGTATTATATCCTAAATAGCTAACCGGCGTACATAACTGTTCTTCCTGGAACATGTTCTTATCCGTACACTGCAGTGTCAGTTTAAATGCACTATATGATATAGCTATAACAGGCATACTGCAAACAAACGTGCTCTGTCCGTCTTAGACTACTTAGCCAAAAAATAATTAAAATTCGTCAATTTATATATAATAAATATATATCGACCTTTCTATAAAAAACATGCGGAAAATGAAATCAGTTAAAATGCGTGTAAAGCTGACAGCATGTAGAAGTATTAACATTGTTTTTGTTAATTAGAAGAAATCTTTATTTTGTAACATCATTTCTATTTTCAAATTACGCTGCAGTTATGTATACATTTGAGCCGGTGATCTATTGTATATAAACATAAATAGATGTGAAGTGTCGAATTGTGTATAATTCTATCTAGGAAAATTTTACGACCTCGCGAGATCTCGACCGAAGCGGAACATAGCCTATTTGGGATTACTTATCTATGTCATGATGTATCATGCACCGAGGCTAAGCAAACACGCCATGTAATTAATGTGCAACACGTGTTTGCTGCCACACCCTAGTTCGTTTGGCATGGTTGTTGCTGTCAATTATTGAGTAGTTCATTTCTGTCTCGTTGTTATCTGTGGTCGCATCAGGGGTGGCCTATACATACCCGACTCCGAGACGGAGTTACTTGACCCCATATTTAACTCGCTCCGGCAATCCATGGCAAACAAATCATCATTTCAATTGAAGCGGACATTTGAAACACGGATCATTGGCAAAGAGATGTGACGACCTACAAGTGCTCAACTGTCTGCACATTTATTAATTGTATACGTAATGCGTTTTAGAATTCTTATTTTGTATAATACTTATCGATTTCTTATCGTGCTCTCGTTGATATGACCAAGTTTGTTTGTTGTTGTTGTTGTGAATGTCGATCGTTTGTCAATCGTTTCAGGGTATTTTTAACTCGGGTATACAATTTACGTGCATGAATAGCACACGTTTTTTTTTGTTTTTTTTTACTTTTTTACATAATAGTCTTTCAATACAAAACATGGTCATATACTTACAGGTCCTGGTCCTGGTCTCGGTCCCGGCCCGGGCCCGGGTCCCGGTCCGAATCTTCGTCCTCGGCGCATCTTATTGTGGCGAAATACGACGAGATAATAATTACGTACGGTTGTAAGACTTTTGTGTGCGAGGGTGACAGGGAGACGTAAAATTGAATGATTCTAATTTTCCGTCCACACCCGGTATGAGTCAATGATTAGAATGAGTTAATCTTTGAAGCAGAGTTCAAACAAAAACGTAAGGTCATTTGTTATATGATTCGCGGAGGGCGCTTGATACATACATTTCCCTCACCTGTGATCGATAATATTCACATAATTATATAATGATTAATTATACGACATTTGACGTACATTATAAGTATGCTAATACGGCGTGAATGGAAAATGTTATCAAATAAATTCCATGTATAATCATAAAGGTATATCTGACTGTCCTGTTACATATTATTTTTTATTATTTTATATTATCTTCATAAATAATTCTAACATCGTTTTGTTATTCCATACTATTTCTTAGTTCTCAATGTGTTCAATGTAACAGTATTAGTTTTAGGAAATGTGTTGTGCCTCACATAGTATTCACAGTAAAAAGTCAAATGTATTTCGTTGGTAAAATTATGTTCTTGCCGATTAACAAGTTGATGACATCAGCCGTCCAATTTCTGGAATGGTACAAATAATCAGACCGCATTAGAATGATACGTAGAAGTAAGGATACACAGTAATAAGGTTCTTAGCAAAATAACTTAATTTATGATCACAATGATAACATATCAATTTACGGTACGCTTTTTAGCTCCGCTGTCGACTTTGTCGAGCGGAGCTTATCATATGAGTGATTGTCCGTCGTCGTCCGTCGTCGTCCGTCGTCCGTCGTCCGTGTCAATGTTTTACTTTTTCGACTTCTTCTTGAAAACTACAAGCCTGAATGCTTTGATACTTGGTGTATATGTACCTTGGGTAGACCTCTCTTAGGTTTATTTATTTCATGTTGATATCTTCAATTCTCTAATTTTGGTGAATATTTTTGTCATTTTTGGTAAAAAGTGATATTTTCGACTTCTTGTTAAAAAATGCAAGTGCAATTGCTTTGATATTACATATATAGGTATTACATGTGGACCTCTCTCAGATTTGTTCATTTTGTAATGATATCTTTAATTCTCTAATTTTGGTGAATATTTTTGTCATTTTGGTAAAAAGTGATATTTTCGACTTCTTGTAAAAAACCAATAGTCCGATTGCTTTGATATTACATATATAGGTGCTACATGTAGACCTCTCTCAGATTTTTTCATTTCGTGATGATATCTTCAATTCTCTAATTTTGGTGAATATTTTTGTAATTTTTGGTAAAAAGTGATATTTTCGACTTCTTGTTAAAAACCAAAAGTTCAATTGCTTTCATATTACACATATAGATACTACATGTAAACCTTTCTCAGATTTGTTCATTTCGTGATGATATCTTCAATTCTCTAATTTTGGTGAATATTTTGGTCATTTTTGATAGAAAGTGATATTTTCGACTTCTTGTTAAAAACTGTAAGTTCGATTGCTTTGATACTATACATATTGTTCATTTTCTAATGATGTCTTCAGTTCTTTAATTAAAATGTGCATTGCTAACAGCGGAGCTATCTCAGCCGATAGGCTGCTTGTTTACAATATGATAGTGATAAAAAGAATACTAAACTGATGAAAATGACACCTTTATACACTTGCACGGAGAAAGCTTTCACAATAGTTCAAGGGTACGTTTGATAAAAGAATTGTATTTACCTCATGCCAACTTGAAAAATACACTATTCTGTTTCATCCATGTCAATTGACGTTTTCATTAATTAAAGCTTATTATGTGGTAAGCCGAAAGTTATTTACAAAACCAACAAACAAGTTAAAAACTGTGTTCATTTCACAATGAACACCAATATACCAATTAAAATAAATGCCAATCTTATATGCAGTGTATTGAGGCTTTCATATTCAACTTTAATGATAGATACACCTTTCAATCGGTTGCCACGAAATTGTTAGCGAAATCATTTGAAGTAATCACAATGATATTATTTTTTTAGAAAATTTGATGAAATTGATATTGTTTATGTTTCCGATTGTTATCATGGCAGAAAGGGGCAGATATGTCGAGAAAGACATCTAACTTTTTAAGATGACCTGGTGTTCTCGATGTAATTCCTTGAGAACTTCAAATTAAGCGTGCATATTGGATTGAACTATTTATCTCTGATCCGATGTATCATGCATCGAGGCTAAACAAACACGCCATGTAATTACTATGCACATGTATCTGATGCCACACCCTAGTTCGTATGGTATGGTTCTCGATGTCAATTATTGATTAGTTCATTTCAGTCTCGTTGTTATCTTTGGACATACCCGACTTCGAGACGGAGTAACTTGACCCCACATTTCACTCGTTCCGGAAATTCCAAACGAATGGCAAATTGAACGTGTAGGTATGATTAGGACTTCTCCTGCAGTTAATCCCATCATTGATGGAAATTTGCCTACTATTTCAAGACGGTTAATAAAATATTCACTCAGCTATTAATTTCGAAAAATTGTCTCCACCTAAAAGTGAGGGTATTTTTTTAAAAACTGTTTCCAAATGTATCATTTAATTGGGATAAATTATGTCGTTTGCCTTATAAACTTATGATTGATGCCAAGTTGAATCTTACGGCAAAATATTGAAGAAAATATAGTATAATTACTCATCATTTTCTAAAATGTATTCAATATATAAAAAATTGAGAAACCGTTAAATGGATGCATTTGTTTCTAAAACGACAACATTCTGTTGACTCTGGTGAACGGTATTCCTCATGTCGCGCAGAGCTTTGAATTTAGAAGATAAACCTGATAAACATAAATCACTCCTTAGGAACAGTTGTTTTTAGCAATATTGCAAATCATATTTTATTGCCAAACGTGCAATTAACAACATGTATAATTTCAAATTAGGTAATTGCGTTCGAAATCAAACACTGTCACTAATGCGACATAATATCATCTAAAGTAAATGGTTTTATTACATTAAGAATAACAAGTAGATATTGTTAGGTTTCATTTCACATTCATAAAACCATTGAGTATTGGCTCTATTTTTACTAGATCTCGTTTTATTACATTTAATATACACTCTTTTACTGTGAATAAAGACCATATAGTACTGGTATCAAAATTAAAAACGAAACGATTATGAAACGTCAATTTAAAATAAAATAATAAAAATACATATATATGTATGATCTGTAGATATTGATTTATTTTGATGGCTTGTTTGACAAGATCTGTGGGGTTAACTCAACAGGTTAATAAGTTCCCTATAAGGTCGCTCGTAAAACAGAGCAAAATAGTCAATTTGAAACACAACACACGTTCTTCAATAGGCGTTGACAAGAAACCAAATGTTATTTGCAGAGCAGTAAAGAACAAATATTCCGCATATTTGTTGAGAAAATATATTTTGACTGGCGTTTGTAACCAAGTATGCAAAACATGTCAAGTATATTTTCAGTCTCTTCACTGCCTTCACTATCTTCTTCCATTCTATCAGGGATATGATAGTTGTTTGGAGTCGACTTGTTTGAGTCGGTAGCCTACTGATCTGCACGTCTGCTTACATTGTAGCAATGCCCCTTGCCGTGGTCGTGAGTTCGACCGTGCTTATATACTTTTTGTAATTTGTCAGTAAATATATGTGATTTTTTAATGGGAATCCTTAATTGAATTGATTCCAGCCCCTCCCAGCCTATCAGTCGCGTCAATAACATCCCTATTCCAACCACTCCCTCTCGCACAGCGTACCTCCCAGCCTTCTTGCTGATTTTGAATAACATAAGAAATTGAGCAAAACTAAAAAGAAAAGGTGATACATTTTCCCGACTAATGTACAACAAAAAATTTTCAGACTGTGCATGAGTAATTGGGAAATTAACTGATGAATTTAAATTTAAAAAAATCACTTAAATTAAGTTAGATGTGTAAATAATAGACACTCGCTCAGTTAGTCAGTGTCTTTGGAGATCGGTTACATTATAAGTATGCTTGCCTTAAGGACTATAATCTACAGTATACCAACTCAGGATATCTACTTGATATTTAATATTTTTAACAAAAACAACATCATGTTCTCACATTTAATGTGTTTGGCTTGTTTTAGGGATGATATTTGTAAAGTGTGAAAGCATAACAAAACAAATAGTTACAAATATAACGTGTCTTTTTGTGATGTGTTAATAATTTGACAATTTAATGGCAAGGGGTTATTAATTCCAATTTAAAAGTTCTACACATTTAGATTGTGGTTGGAAAAAATGTTTAAATTGTTTCAGATCGGGAAGTACCTGGTTCGACAGTAGGTTTTAATTGAGTGCTTGAACACTGTTAGCAAATCGTTTACCCTCGGTTTTTCATAATAAAGTTTTGCAAAATACAGTATATAATTTTGTTGAAATTCTCAATACCAGTTTTATTTAGCAATAGAATATTATTATGCAATTGTTGCAATTTTAGTTCGTATGACTAAATATGTGGCAACCAATGCCCGAAGAGATTGCTGCTATGGCACATGGATATCTGTTGCTAGGACGACAGGTGTGCTTGTATCTGAACGTCTGATATAATCAGTCATCGTAGTTAGTGACGTCGGGTTCGAATACAAACTATATCATACAGATACACCGTGACCCTAACATCTTCCGAACCCACCTTAAATCGGAAATATTTGAACGTGCTATAAATAAATTTAAAAAATAGACGACATACTCGGCGATACTTCATATAGAGAAAATTTACATAAATGTCAGTCACTGCTCAATGACCAGTCAGTCTATATTTTCTGCTGTGCAAATAACATATGAGCTTTGGACCTAATATCAGCTGTTATGATAGTCTGAATTCCCTCTATCCCAAGATGACAACCGATGCGTCCTAAAATACAACGATTTCCCATAGTTGCCCGTTGCCATGGTTGTATTCCTGTGTGATATTATATCCAGGTAGTCCACGGCATTGTTACGTCATATGTCCTACGTGACGGGTGGCGTAGTTTATAAATATGTTTGTCATTTTATCACACACTGTTTATTCCATCAACGAGTATCCGATCTTTCATTGCAAGCGATCCCGAATCACGTTCTTCTTATGGCTTCGCTTC